AACTTCTTTCTGATCTTATATAGAATGGATTGGAAGGTTCTAGAGGCCCATGGAAAGCCCAATCTGAGATATCCAAGTTTTCAATTTTCTTCCAAAATTCACTAATGGCATACACGCTTTTGCTCTGTTTCAGCCTTCAATTCACTTCCAATCACTTGCCTGAGATGCCTTGAGTGTAAATGGATTGGCATTTTGCCTTGATTTCAATCTATGAGCAAGTTTGAAATGTAACTTCTTTGTGAAGCAATACACCAAATGACCATGTTATAAATCTCAATCCCAAAATGTAATAATGCCAAATGGTTTAGAATCTCTTTTCCAATCAAAATGAGTACCAATTTGGTTTGAAATCATTCAATTACCAATTATTTGGAATTTTTTCATTTTAATTCCTTAAAATGGCCCTTTTGAGAAATTTCTTCATACTTTTCCATGTTCAATCCATATCAATGGTTGCTTGGGTCATGGTTGTACTAAAAACACCATTTTGAACAACTTTCAAGTTGAACAAAAATTCATTTGAAGTGCCTAAGATAGTGAAATGGACCCATGATTCAAAATGACCTGTAATTCCGAATTCCCAAAATACCCTTGACTTGTCAAAGCCATATCTTGAGTTCTACACATCCAATCATGGATTTTTAGTACTCTCTAGAAAGTTGAGAGAATAAGGAACAACATTCATGTTGACCAAAAGTTCATAGGAATCATCCTTCCAGGACAAAAGTGTCATGCAAGTTGGGTGACTTTTAAGCTCCAAATTCACATGCCTCAGATGACTTGTAACTTGTCTGGCTCATAACTTGAGTTCTATAAACCCTATCAAGGACTTCTAGTACTCAAATTAAATCTATGATCATGCCCTACAACAATCATGTTGGGGTCAAGGTGAGATGAAAATCCCATCTTGAGTTATGTGGTCTTGAAGTTAGGCACCAAACCAGGGGATTTTACACTGTCAAGTATAGCAACCCTAGCCTAGCAACTCCTCACACTCTTGATTCATGATAAGTTGACCTTGGAATCATCCCTTGGACATCTTAAGACATCAATCCATGATCGCATGGATTTGGAATTAGGTCTCAACCTTCTTCAAATCATCAGTTATCCTAGGGTTGACCAGGTGAAACCCTAGTTGTACCAATCATGGTAGATCTTCATATCCTTCACACAATGACCTATCTAGGCCTCAAAATGAACTTCAACACTTCTCATGAGCTCTCTCAAGACCTCAAGTCCAACTTCATGGCTTCAGAATCATCTGAGGACCTCCCACAACTCTCAAGTTAGGAGATATACACACTTGGCTTCAACCATTCTCTCTGAGGATCTTAGGCTTCTCTGGTGAGGATATCAACCCTTGAACACTTGGATAACCCTCTTGGCTAGATTCATAGTCTTGTATAGCTCTTGATTGGTAGTCATACCTCTTGATCTCCTGCGCACATGTCAATGAAATGCAAATGATAATGCTAATATGAATGCAATGAAACACAAGCTAGGTAAAGAAAGGTTGGGCAAATTTTGGGGTGCAACAGATATCACCCGAATGATTATATCCGGTGAACCCAATTTTTATGGATTGGACCTATATCCTGAAAGGAGGAAGAGAAGGATTGTAACAATGTACAGTGAATTTAACCTGCCACCCCCAAACCCCCAATGTTTCATAATTTCAAAACTGCCTCTGGGTGAAAAACACACCAAATTTTTGTATAAAATTTCTAGTAGGCATATAGAAATTTCCGGTATTAATTGAAATTTATGGTAGTTCATTTGGAATTTTCGGTATACCATAAATTTAGGAATTTTCGGTATTGTTCAAAATGTTCCAAAAATTTTGAATTTTCGTGTTGATACCGGAAATTCAACCTAAGTGAAATTTCCGGTAGTTCCATTTTTATGATTTTTTGGATGATCAGGATTTTACCGATAATTTTGTACGGCTTGTGATTGCACTGATAGTTTGTGTGGTCCATAATAGATTCAAATTTGTATAAATAGAGGTCACATGTTGTTGATAAACACATCTCCAAAAAATGTCTCTTCCCCAATTTTTGATTAAGGCAGAAGTGTTGTTCAATAGAGCTTCTCCTCCTGTAGAGTTCCAGCATCCCGATGGCACCACCTCTTTTGCCAGTCTGACGTCGAATTTGAATAAATTATTGTCTGATGGTGACAACAAAAAGGTGAGAAAGATCGAGTTTTGTGATGATTGAATTGATACTAACGAGAGGGTGAAATACAACCTTATAGAGTTAAAGACCGATGAAGATGTGAAGGAAACATGGAGATCACTTCGTTGTAGGATAACAAAGGGGTCGATCGAGTTAGATGTGAAGCTTTCAAGATCCGTTGACGACATAATAGAGATGTTAAAATGTCCTGAAGCGTCTGATAGTGTTAGGTTTTTCTTATTTATTAATCATATTGTAGTGTTAAGTGTTTTCTATTTAAGTTAAGTAATCCATTGTCAGATGTTAGTTAACGTTCATACTGCAATTTAAGGAAGATCAATAATATTAGCTAATAAACTTTTATGATGAAATGTCTGAATAATATACAAATAATACAAAGGTGCGCACCCCTGGTCTCACCAAAGATATACGACCAGAGCTAAGGGAAGTTACTCTGAAACTACCAGTCAATACCTGAAGTTGGAATATCTAGAACTGATTATGGGGTACTCTGAACATAACCATATTATCACATACACCTCTTAGGCAAGTGCTTAGCAACCACGGTCTCCCACCGTATATTACCTGAATATAATGACGACTCCTCGAACTCACGGTGGACTCTATGACCAATGTATGATGTCCAAATGACATCATCCATATTCAGCGCATCGAGTCTCCTCCTAGTCCGTAGGGTCCCCACCTTTTTGCCCGTAGGGTCCCCACCTCGCAATGATGCATCCTCATGTCATAGATGGTAGAGAAATGCTCGTATATCCAGCACTGAAATCATAACACAGACACAACAAACAATAATTTAGAAATGATATTCGTAAAAAATAAATATGAAAGCAACACATATAATAATTTTAAGTATACCTGTAACAGACTCAAAGACCGTCGCCACTCTAATTGGGTCAATGCATCACACTTCCAAGCCCAACTAGTGTTCTTGAGGCTACTAAAGAGGCACAAGTATCGGGCATCAACATAAGTACCATACTTATCCGCAAAGAGAGTACATGCTATTATATGTAGCATGTACGGCCTAGCGGCAACCTCATACCTCCCAGCAGCTACAAGTTGATCGTATATCTTCTGAAGCCAATGCATACGAAGGTGCGCACCCTTGGTCTCACCAAACTCCCGCAGCACCTCTGCCTCATACAAACTCAAATCATGTGACACAACCTGACAAGCAAGGGTCACGTTAAGAACTGGACCGTCCAAAATCTGTCGCAGATAGAAAGATGGAACAACGCGGCGACATCAGCCAGAGTGACAGCCATCTCCCTGAACGGAAGATGAAATGATGATGTCTCCTTGTACCACCTCACAACAAAGGCACTAAGCAATGGAGTGTCTAATATGGTAAGTGAGCAGTGTGCAAAATCAAGTAGTTGGAAGTCTCGTATAATCCGACTGACCGCTTAGGCATCATAATCTTTGGAAAGTCCTTCATCTTTGACCCATGAGATGTGATCTTCACTTTGGACCACTCATGTGACAACAAAATATAAACAAATTTATTGATACTTAATTATTACAGACATACATAAACAAAAATTAAAACTAAACATAAAAGACATATACCTCGCCCTACCATAATCGTAAGGCCGCATGCTCAGCATACTCTATAAGCACAAACTGTGCACAGAGGGCTCACTTGAAGGAGGCGTAACCCCCATGTCAACAGTTACTAGAAATTTTTATAACTATCAAAAATTTTAAAATTTTCAATAAAAAAATATTGAATTCTGTATCGGAAATTTTAAAATTTTCGGTAGAAAATACCGGAAATTATCAAATTTCAAGTATAAAATACTAGAAATTTTAAAATTTTCGATATAAAATACCGTAAATTTAAAAATTTCTGTGAAAAAACTCACTTGTTTTAAAATTTCCGATAATTTTAAAATGTCCAATATCATCACTGAAATTTGAAAAATCCGCACCAAAACCGTAAATTTTAAATTTTCTTTAAAAAAATTCAAAATTAATTTCGTCTTTTCATTACATATTACATATTGGAGGTATAAGTGGGGGTGACATATTAATTCCTATGTACATGATGCACTTCATGTCATCACAATACGATAGAAATAAATACAATACTTGTACAATCTTCCATGAGTTCTATTATCATACTTTTGATTATATTATTATATCTTATTTTATCACGGGTATGAAAATATCTCTAACAGTGTAGAAAATTGTCGGTTAGACAAAACTAACAATCATTATACACTATTTTTCCATAAGTCATTTAATAATTAAATCAAATCCACAAGTCAATTTTCCCATAACTAAATCTCTTGTTCTTTAACTACTTATTATTTGGTTGTTCATTCATTATCACTATACTTTAATCCAACACAACCATACATCACAAATACATCCTAAAACCTACCTAAAAAATACACACACATAGCAATTTGCATGACAAGACAAAAAAACAATAAGACCTGGAATCCAATTAGGTAATTTTACCAACTCCTATAATTGAAGCACCCAGAAGTGCTAGTGTCCCACATTATTAAAAAGGACAACATAATAAATTTCTTTTCTGAAAAAAAAATTAATAATAAAAACAATCTGCCGACACTTTCATCTGCCTGTGATGTTTGGTTCCATGTTCCAACCCTTTTAAACCATAAGCACTTATTCATTATTCTCTTTCATTATATCATTTGTTTCCATTTCTGAGTTTTTCTGATATATGTATATATATATATATATATATATATATATATATATATACACATGCATGCATAAACTTGTTAGTGTGTTACAGTGTGTGCATTATAATTTACATCAGTAACTATGCAATCTGCAAAATCAGAATCTGATATAACTAGTTTAGCTCCTTCATCTCCATCAAGATCTCCGAAGAGACCTGTATATTATGTACAAAGTCCTTCAAGAGATTCACACGATGGAGATAAGTCATCTGTCATGCATGCTACTCCAATATCAAATAGTCCTATGGAGTCTCCTTCGCATCCTTCGTTCGGGCGCCACTCGAGGAACTCGTCTGGTAGTAGGTTTTCGGGGATTTTCAGGTCGTCTTCGAGTAGGAAAGGTGGTAGGAAGAGGAATGATAAAGGTTGGCCTGAGTGTGGTGTGATTCTTGAAGAAGGATCTTATCGGGAATTCGAGGATAAGGCTTTTGCGAGACGCTTTCAAGCTTTGATTGCTGTGTTTAGTTTTGTGCTTGTTTTTACTGTGTTTTGTTTGATCATTTGGGGGGCTAGCAGACCTTACAAAGCAGAAGTTACTGTCAAGGTAAGCAAGATTGCATTATTTGAGTTTATCTAGTAACTGTTTTGAAGAGCTTATGAAAAGCTTATGGCATGTATATAAATTATTTTCAACTTATTTCTATAAGCTCTTCATAATAATTCATAACTTCTATGATAACAGTTTTACTTTATTTTGTTATGGAAACACTCTATATCTATAAGCACTTATATAAAAGTGCTTATATTATAAGCACTTATTTAAGCTGTTTATCTAAAGAGGAGCTCACTCAACTCTTCTCTACTTTCTCATTTAAACTTGAACCAAGTAGTTGTGACTTTCATTTGGGGACCAACTTTCTGATAGAAGCCATCAAGACTAAATAAATGCTAGTTCAGAATCTGTTTAATGACTTTCTTCTAATTTAATTTCCAAATTTTGCTTGGATAAATCACTTTTCAACCTGAAATTAGTATGAGGGCCGTCTTTGACAGCATATAAGACAGGCTAGCGTGTAAGGCTGACTGCTGCACTGGGTGCAGTGGGTTCAAAATTTGTCACAATTAAATAATATCTAAATAAAATCTTATAAAATATTGTCACAGTTAAATCGTGATTAAATAGAACTTGAATTTGTTTTGCGATAGTTAAACTGCGGCTAACGGTCTCCAAAAATTTGAGACAGCTATGATTAGTAGTGAAGTATATATTTGCTACTTATAATCTTTTTTGACATTGTGATTATGAACTATTCATGCAGAGCTTGACAGTACATAATCTATATGTTTGGGAGGGTACAGACTTTACTGGTGTGCCAACAAAAATTGTGACACTTAATAGCACTATGCACATCAACATTTATAACCCTGCTACATTTTTTGGCATCCATGTTCACTCTTCACCCATCAATCTTGTTTACTCAGAAATCAGTATCGCAACCGGCGAGGTAAGATCGACCATTCTTAGTATTAAATTTAATATTGACATTGAAAATGTATCATGTAACATGTAACATGCATCTACATTAGTTAATTCAAGAAATGTTTGTCTTGGGATGCAAGTAACATGTTTCCGTCAACTTTTGCAGTTGAAGAAACACTATCAGCCACGAAAAAGTCACCGGATTGTATCAGTGAACTTAGAAGGTAACAAGATTCCACTTTATGGAGCAGGATCAAGCATGACAGTTTCGCAAACGGGTAGCGTTGAAGTAGCACTTGTATTGAAGTTTGAAATCAGTTCGCGCGGAGATGTGGTTGGGAAATTGGTAAGGACGACGCATCGTAAGGAAATTGCATGTCCTTTGGTTATTAATTCTTCTGGAACAAAACCTATTAAGTTCAAGAAGGATTCATGCACATATGAGTGATTTGGTTTGTTCATTTTGGGAGAGTTCATGTATGATGAGATTGTAACTTAGAGTTTGGGAGTGTTTTTGAGCTTGAGGAACTCCATTTGCAAGAGGAGTTTCTGAGTCATTCTGTATTTTACTTCTGTGAGTTTTGTGCAAATAAATGCATGTACAATTTTATGTGTATACTCCCTCTTTCACTCAATTTGTATATGAAATTTAATAAAATTTAAACTATTTTTCATTTATTTATTATATTTTTTAATATAAGCGAAGTTATTAAAAATGACTTGAGATTAATAATCTTAATAGAAACATTATCTTTGATAAAATATTATAGCGAAAGATATCCATGTAGTCAATTTAACTTAGTAGGATAAAAAAATTTATTTTCTTAATAAAACAGATTTTTGTCCACCCGCTTGAGAAATTTTATTTTATTTAGAGATACATTTTTATTTCTTATAAACTAAATAGTAGATGTAATATTCCATCCTAATCCATTAGTTGAAAGGATCAATTATTTTTTAAATGGATGAAATTTGAAAGTAATGGTATAATGGGAATTTCGTTAGATAAGTGAATGGATATTTTGGACTTTTTGGACCTTGGGAAGGTTTGTATATAGATTTTTTTTTGGAAGGGAATTCAGAATTTCCATTCCCCTCTTTGTTGTGGGTTGAGAAACACGTGAAAGAGAGGGGAGAAGAGAGAAGAAGAAAAAGTGTTCATGGTTGAACCAAGACAAGTATCCTTCCTACTTCATCTTCTTCATTTTCTGTCTTGATATCTTCTTAACCTTCATTTTCTCTTGATGCAAGCACAAGGTTTACCAATTAATGAGGAATTTTACCTTAAACTTATTTCGTTAGAGAAGGTTTAGATCATGATGAATAAAGATCAAATGAAGATGAGATTTTGGGCTTGCATGTGGCTAGAAAAGAAAAGAGGTCCATCATCATCTTCAATTTTGAGAATGGTGGGTTTTCCCTCCCTTTAAGTCATGATCTTGAAATTGTATGAACCCTAATTTAAGATATGATGAATGCGTGATAGATTTCCTAGGTTTTGATTATTTAAATGATACGTATATTACTAATTATTGGGGTAATGAAGTTATGAGTTCCCCTAGGATGTTAGATGGGGGATAAAATGGTGAGAAAAAGGTTGAGAGTTGGAATTCTAGTGCTGGATTGAAGAGAATGTGAAGTGTTGTTGTACATGTAGTGCTCGTAGTATTGTTCCTTTGATTAATTGCTTTAGGTAAAACAACATGGTCAACAAAATATGTAAAATGTGAAGATGCATAATGTGAGACAAGATATTTCAGCATTAGTGCACCATCTAGCCTCAGTTTGTAAGCCAGGTTACATGAGTAAATTTGTGCGTGTGTTTGATTAGTTCCAAGGAGGTTTGTTATTTATGAGTTGTATGTTTTAGCAATATGTCTTTTAAGGAAGATTGGCTAAAAATATTGTCCAAGAACAAATTAAATTAAATGAGAACAAATCTCTTGGTGGACATTAATGTATAGTAAATCAAATCTGCGTCAAAATCAAATATGTTTGGTTTCAATTAAGATGCTAGGCCCAACATATATTTTTCTATATAAGAAGACTCATTCTTAACAAGAATGTGGGTGCGAGAATTGAAGATCTAGTGTGTTAGTGTTTAATATTTGATTCATTGTACTTTTTGTTATTTATGCACATCTATAACGCCTAAGTTCCATATCAAAGGCATAGAGGTTATTTTGTTAGTTGAGTTGTAATTCAAAAATCTTTAAACTTGTTTTATGTATTGATCACCAGGGTTAGTGGTTAAGAGAAAGTGAGAGGGGTTATCATATTTAGAAGAAGTCCTAAATATAAAGTCAAGATTAGTATTAGGTAGAAAGACATTAAACAAGTTTTGTTCATCTAAAACTAATTGTACTAATACTATTAAGAGTGAATTTCCTTTCTTAGGTCGGAAACCCCCCAGATATAGGTGACGTTGCACCGAGTTGCGTTAACAATCATTTGTGTTCTTTATTATTTTATGATTTATTTCCCTTTATCTCTTAATTTGTTTTAAGCAAGTTATACACATTGTCCCAGACATTATGTCTAACATTTGTCCTGTGAACGAAACAGAACTTTAATTGGCTTTAGAGCAGGCACCCTGTTCTATTTGGGTGAGCTCCAAGAAAAGTATATTATGTTCAAATGGACAATACTAAAGAAAAGGGGTCAATCAAGAGAACACTTATCTTGGATGACACCAACTATGGTTATTGAAAAGCTAAAATGATTACTTTCTTTAAGTCCATGGACAACAAAACATGGAAGACTATAATAAAGGTTGGAAACACCTTGTGAGTACCTGTCAAGATGGAACATCAATCATAAATCTAGAAGTTGAGTAACCTAATGTTGAATATGAAGAAGCTCTTGGAAACTTCAAATTCTTGAATGTTATATTCAGTGGCACGGACAAGAATGTGTTTAGATTGATAAACACATGTTCTGAAGCAAAAGAAACTTGAGAGATCCTCAAAACAACACATGAAGGCACATCCAAAGTTTGTATGTCAAGGTTGTAGATCCTCACAACCAAAATTTATAACCTAAGAATGAAGGAAGATGAATCCATCTTAGACTTCAACATTCGCCTTTGTGAAATAGAGGGGAAATGTTTTACTTGCTGCAAGGTATTCTTAAAGGACTCTAAAACAACTGCGATACTATCAATGGATGATTCCTTTAAACTTAAAGCCAATTAAGCATTATGAATATGTATGGTTTCTAGGTCTCCCTGGAACACACACACACACACACATGGAGAGAGAGAGGGGGGGAGAGAGAGAGAGAGAGAGAGAGAGAGAGAGAGAGAGAGAGAGAGAGAGAGAGAGAGAGAGAGAGGATGCATGAGTAGACGACAAAGTAGCCAAAGTAGAATCTAGAGGTTTATCCTTTCTTGCAACACCTCTCACAAAAAAAGTTACCTTTTTAACTAGCGAATTGAGAAGTTGGGGGAACTTAAAGCATACCCCAGTTTGAGAAGCAAAAGCTTTTTGTATTTCTTGCATGTATGTATCACACTAGAGTGTCATGTTACAAATACTTTCATCTAGTCGTTGATTTTCATTGTGTTATTGGTCAGACAGGAAAGCATCCCAACAGTCAGCTCACCTCACAAATGGCCAGAACAGTAGAAGCACATCATAATACGTAGGGGTGTTCACGTGTGCATGCCAACCAGTGAACCTGCTGACCAAACCGAACCAACCCATAAATCACCTGAACTCCGTTCATTTACGGGTATACCCAACTCGCAATAACCCGTATAGTTTTTGTTCGGGTATTAGGTTTGAGTTTCTCAATCCGCGGACCAGCTGAACCAACCCATTGATGTGAGTTTTTTTTTAATTATTATTTGAAATGAAAATATAAAGTTAATATTCACTACTAACCACAATTTTTCCAAAAAAAAAAAAATTTATTCAACACAAATACATAGTAGAACAGTGAGTTTACATAATTCTAAGATTAAGTGTTGTTTCTATTTTCTCTTGTATCATTTTCAAAATATGTACTTTATGGAAATAACGTGTCTAATGAAATTTTTTACTATTATCAAGTGTTATGTCATGTGGATGGATTTTATTAAACATTATATGATTTGTTTCATCCAATTTGAATATTTGAATTGAATGTAATTGTATTACAATTTTCTTATAAAAAAATTATCAACAATATTATTTTATTTAAAACACAACCCGTGAATTCAACCCAATCCATAAATGAATGGGTCGGTTTGGGTCAGTTTTGATTGTGAAATTGCGGGTTAAAATATAAACCCAACCAATTGAAATTTGAGCGGGTTGGTAACAGGTTATCTCAAACCAGGTCCAACCCAACTCGTGTACACCCCTATTAATACGCCATATTTGACAATTCCTCCTCAAGAGTGTGCCTGATCAGGTTGTCCAGATAAATCCTCTCATGGGGTAGAAAACCGATGTTCTTTCAGAGTATGAGGGCCCGACCTCGACAACTGAGTAGAAGCTAGATGACTCACCATACACGGCGACCATCGATAATCATTTAAAGCACCTATGGTGGACCCTAAAGAGGAATGAGTATTGATCGGCTGTGAAGTGTTCGAAGAACATGTTATGGCATGAGTTGGCCGCGTTACTAAAGTAAGCATATTGTAAGTAACCGAATTAATGATAGGGAGCTAAAGTACATCTAAAAACTCACCAAAGGTGACATTTCTCTCCTTCTTAGTATGAACATCCATCAGTAAACGAGTTTTGGTAAATTGTTTCAAACACTTCCGTGAAGCTTTACCCCAAGGAGTAACCCCTGAGATAACCCAACTCTTTGGCAAATCCTACCAGCCACCTCTTCAGATAAAGATCCTCATGAGACAGGTTGTCCTCCTTCTAGATGTATCATTCATTCCTCATCATGAAATGGCTCTTATTCCAGTACTTGGAGAACAAGTAAGTACATTTGTCCCTTATTCTAGGGCCGAAGGTACACATAGTCGCATGAGCTTTTTTGCAGAGAATGACAACCAAGAAGAATTGATTTTCAAAATGCCTTAAGCTCTCCAAAAACATCCAATTTAAACAAGCCATGGCCCCGCGTTTGGGAGGCAGGACTACGTTGTATTCTGAAGATGTGGAAGAAAAGGGATAGAGAGGGTTTTCCCTTTTAATATTTACACCAGTATTGAAAAACTTTAATATACAGCTAACTTGTAGGATGCATCAAATGATTCATAATTTATATTTCAAAGTTGTTAAAAGGCAACCAAATACCCAAAACCAGGAAGGTACATTCATAGAAAGGGACGACACATCCACCGCACCCACTACAGATTCTTTCATTTCCACTAGAGGTCAAGACGCCTTAATCTGAAGATGGACCAATGCCCAAAAAGGCTCCGTCAATACCACCCTCTTAAACAAAGACAAAAATAGTTTATGAAGAGACAAGATCAAGCCAGGAAGCATAAGTATTTTC